TTCTACCATCAGATCACTTATAGACTATGCAGCACCTGTCCTCTCTTGTACTGGTGAAGGAAGGCTACGGAAGCTTGAGATCATGAAAAAATGAAGCAATGAGAATAATTTTAGGGTGTCCACAAATATTATCAATTATTCCAAGTCCACAAAACAAAAACTATATTCAAAGGGCAAAAAAACATTCAAAGTCAAGAAACATTATCAATTATTCCTAGTCCACAACACATGAAATACATTTTCAAAGTCCACATCCACAAATAACTTTCATATATTCAAACATAATACAAGTCCAAAACTTATTCAAAGTACAAATAACTCGCGTAAATTCGACCAAAATTATACCACTCAAAAATTATTACAACTATACAAATAACTAGTACATTACAAACTGCATGTCAACAAATATTACAAGTCCACAATTAACTTTAATCAATTCAATCATTTTTACAACTCCACAAGTGACTAAACACAATTTTCTTTTTACAAGCCCACACATCAATACGACGACACACGAATAACTCGACGATATTACAACTGTGCCGATTTATAACGTTACAGACAATTCCCTAATATTTAAAGTCCACAAATAACTTCGACCGTTTTATACGACTATTCAAACGACAAAACGCATTCAAACAACTCACAACAAAATATTACAACTACACAATTGACTCCATTCAACTTCAAAAAATAACTACTCCACAATAAAACATTTTCATTCTCATCAATTTTACAACATTAACTTACTTTTCAACATCTCGACCTCGACCATTTCGCAATAAATAACCACGCAGACGCAAAACGACAATTCCCAGTCGCCATTTCTTGACGCGACTGCGTATTCGCGCGCCGCAGGACAAATATTTCAAACTAAACACATTACACGCATAATAACTTAACATTATTATTATTATTATTATCAATAACAATTACTTTACAAATCAAAATAGACCTCTTCATTTATTCAAATATCACCACAATATCTATTTCATACTCACGACATTTACAAACATATTTATAACGACGCCAATAAATGAAATCGACACAAAGAAACAGTAATACAACAACAAATTACATTTCCAACAACAGACATACAAACGCACACAACGACTGACGGAGGGAAGAGGAGAGGATCGACGCCAATGGGAGGGTGACAACGAACGGGATGAGGAGGGAGGGACACAAACACAGAGGGGGGACGAAAAGGAAGGGACTTGCATTCAAACGCGTGGACAAGGAAACGAGGACAGATAACACGAGGAGGAGGGGAAACGGCAACACGAGAAAAGGGAGACGAAGGAGGAGGAGAATTGCTGTTCGACACCACAACCGCATCCGGCCCGTACGTGCACGAACTGATCGCTATAAGAACAGCCCAGTCCCAACCATTGTAAAAATTATCAATAACTTGTAATAAACCAGTGTATTCACTCCCAGTAAACACTACTCCTTGCACTATGTTGAAATGCACTGTAGTTTGAGCTTTTCCCCATCTAGTTATTATATATCTTATTTATATCACTTATCTTACTTGTATATTATTTGTAATTCGAAACCCATTCCCCAAATATGTAACTGTATATTTTCAACCTTCTGGCTGCCAACCTCTTTCAATAAACCGTTAATTATTATTATTATTATTATTATTCGCGTCTATTCTCCGACTCTCCTCGTGCCCCCGCGTCGTCTCCCTCTCCGTACTTCCCCCGCATTCCGTGTCCGTCCTCCGCCCCTCTTTCCCCTCCCGTAAACGGACCGCGATCGACCGTAGTCTATATCCGCAAATACCTGCACCCCCCCTTTTACGTATTACTCTCTCCTAAACCGACATTTACTCCATTCGTCGTCGTCTCCCGCGACCGTGCCGCCGATCCTCGACTCGTCCCTTCCGCCGATTTCCCCGCGCGACTTCTTCCCTCTTCAAAATCCCCAGCGCATCCGTTTCTCGCCACTGCGCCGACCGAGTGATCGCGCGTCGATTCCTCTCGTGCCCTGCAAAATCTATCGATCCTTGTCCCTCCCGCCGTCCTTATCGCCTTTTACTTTACATCTTCGCTAATATATAACTACTACCTCAATCGATTTCCTTTACTCTCTCTCTCTTTCTAAATAGTCAGTCCTAAAAAACTATCTTCTAATTTTCCCTTCTCATAACTCAACAAAATAGTCACCATTTCTCCATTCTTATCAGTTACCTCGACGACGCCATCTCGTTAATCTACGTCGGTCCGATCTCCCCCTTCTTTTACTTTCGAAACGCGCGCGTCGTCTCGTATTTGCGCTTCCGTCATTTGAGGACGTGCCGGAATTCCGCATTAAATGACATTCCAAATGCTACGATCTATTTGCAAAATGTCTACAATGATCATCTTCTCAACAAATTATTCCAAACCCCTAGTCATCACAGGCAACATCTTCAATAAATTCATTCTCGTTATGTATCGACTTCCAAAGTCGCTATGTAAAAACAATACTACAAACATTATAAAAATCATTACTCTACACAAACAAAATGGGCATCAATTTTACACATTAACATCATCTGTAAAACATTCAAACTGGACTGCCACAAAACATACGTCGCGATACGACATCGATACGCGTCTTCTGCGTCGACGAGGATCTTCTCGCATTCGCGAGTGTATTCTTCCCGCGTTCCGGAGTGTCTTCCTCGCACGTCCGCCGGTATCTTCGTCCGCAATTGACGAGTGTCTTCGTGGCGCGTCGGGCGGCGTCTTCGTCCGAATCGGCTCTCAGACGCCGACTGTAGAATCTATCTCCGTTCCCGTCTCTAACTTGTATCGGCTCGCTCATCCACAACTGAAACAGACAAATTACTATAAATATATATAAACATTTATCTACTAATAAGAAATCAAAATGAAAATTAAACATTGCAAACTGTAGGCCTACGTCGCCGAGAGGAGCGCACGGCGTCGGCCTTGGCACGTGCCCGCTCCTTTCGTCGGAAGGTGTTCGGCCCTAAAACAAGACTTATAGCAGTTATAATACCTTAAACCTCTGCCCGACGTATAAACGGAAATGGTAATGTTAACGTGTGAGATGACGGCCCGTGGCCGTTATTTATCGGACGTCCCCCGCACGATCGTGACTCGCCACGGAGGCAGCCGTTACCCCCCCCCCCAGCATCACAACTGCTCCGCCCCCCCCGCTCTGCCGATCCGCTGTGAACCCGTGGATTCCCGGCGTGCCGCCCCACGAATGGAAATGAGTAACGTAACGTCGAGAAACTCTGCGGTCGTCGCTCGGAGCGACGCGATACCGTGGGTACGGACGGTGCCGGTGTGTCTCGTCTCTACCCGCCGAGGGCAGCGTGCAAACGAGGTGCTTAATGTGTATGCCTAGAAAGTACAACGAGTCCCATACTTGCAGGTGTGGAGTGTAACAGCTATTTTCAGATGGTGCTACTATGTATCATAACCTAAGGTGCTATATTCCATACAGGTGTAGCAATCCGACATGTTGAGTGTTATTGTAACGAGGGATAACCGAGGTGAGGAGATTGCTCGTCGTTATGCGACGAGTGCGCGGACGACGCGCAATTAACGCGAGGCGACCAAAATCGTCGTCGTTCTTCCGAGCGAGGCCGACTCCCTTGTATTTTAACGGAATGCAGTGTGTTTTGTGAGGAAGAAATTGCATGTGTTCTGGGTATCAAGTTCTATCTACAGGAGCGAACACAAACGCCCGTACAGTTTTTGTAGCTTCTATTTACTGGATAAACGAAGGTACACAAGGGAGGTGGCGCTCCTTACTCTGTCTGGGGGGTCAACTAGCCTTTCGGGCGACATGTGGTAAGTGATGCATCAGCAGCTTCCGTATGTCGCCGGGCACGTTAATTAAGCGTGTGGGACGTGGTAAATGCATTGCCGCACGCTGCTAGCTAGGCTGAATAAATAGTGTATATAAATGGAGCACATACATAAATTAGTTAACACATATTATCGTTTTACCCTTCTTTTCCCTTATCGATCTGGTCAATAAAAAACCCAACCCAATGCCTAGTCCACTCTGCCCGCTACCTGACGAGCTACTGTCCAGAGGGGGTCTGGTGGCAGCAACCCTTACAAATTAACAATAGAGTTAAGTTATCCCATTAGACTCGATCGCCCCCGGTACGATGCGTGCCGTCAAAAGAGGCACCGGCCGAGAGGACCTCGGTCGACTGCCCCTCGCGGGGGTAACCCGACTTATTTTTGGCCGCGCTCTCGAACAAAATCCCATTACTCGGTGACATTTGTGAGTGCAATACGGTTAATGACGGGACGGCCACCGGCGCTCCGCTCTGCCGTAGATGAATGCCGGAATTGACCGACGGTCGCTCCCTAGAACGGCACGGGGTTGCGAGCGATGCGGTCGACGGCCATTCCGGCCTCGGAGACCGCGCCGTGACGGCATTCCCGACAGTCAAAATCGAACCGACGCGTGCGGCACGCGCCGCCGCCGACGACTGCCCCCCTCTTTTTCTCGAGACGGCTCGCCCACATTTCCGCGACGACCGCCGACGGACGGGTACAATTATGGGAAACGCCTGCGAGACGCTCCTTCTTGGGGACGCGTCGTGCCGAAAACTCGCCCAGACCCGACGACGACTGCGCGACGCCCCGAATTCCATCTCCGGTCTCTACTACGGTAAATAGTTTACACAAATGATCGACACAGAACAATATGACCATAAACAGCCCCAGCACAGGGACAATCTTCACTCCATCATAACAAAAAATTAAGCAATAATCAAGATACTGTACAGTGACCCCTCGGTTAACGAACTGCCTTCCGTAAGGATCTTCAATTCGGTTAACGAATTTCTTACGAACCGACCTCGACGTGTTTTCGCTTGCACTGACCGGGCAACCGGCTTTAGTATCAGTCCGCCAATACATTAAACGGTTCTAGGGCTTAAATTCCTTACTATTTTAGTAAATATCAAGAAGTTTATACTATTCAATAATTTCAAAAGTTTAATATTCAATTTTTTAGTCATTTTAACAATTATTGAACATAATTGAAGGTAAAGTGACTAGTTTAATGTGCGGCATCCAGCCTCTTAATACAGCAAACAGGCGTTAGTCTCTCTCTGTTTTCACTGGAGGTAACATCTTGCTTGAGACTCTCTTCAACTAAACGCTTTTTTTTCTGTGTTTCCAAGCAAATTATTGGTCATTTTGAAATATATTTTACATATTGACAATATATAATGCAGTGCAGTGTTGATTTAAAGAAAATAATCTTGAATTACACCAAGAGAGCTAAAATTTTATGGGTGAAATGGCGCCATGGGGCGACTTCTCTTCTTCCTTCTCCTCCACCCCCATTCTAAATCCCATCATCATCCAGGAGCCTTCTACATACACACCTCAAAGTAAGTGAACTTTTCTACCATTTCTGTTGAATTTAGGAATTTTCAGTGAGCCAGAACCAATTACCCAAAAACCCATTGAAACAATGGTTTCGGTTAACGAACAACCTTCTGGAACGGATTGAGTTCGTTAACCGAGGGGTCACTGTGTGTGTGTGTGTGTGTGTGTGTGTGTGTGTGTATATATATATATATATATATATATATATATATATATATATATATATATATATATATATATATATATATATATATATATATATATATATATATATATATATATATATATATATATATATATATATATATATATATATATATATATATATATATATATATATATATATATATATATATATATATATATATATATATATATATATATATATATATATATATATATATATATATATATATATATTCTACTTCAATAATATTTTCTTAACTTTTTACTTTTTTATTATTTATATTAGTAATAATATTTCGTATAAATCGCACATTTTTAAATATGATGCCTGAAAAAGGGTCTGTCTTGATAGGACAGATTATTTAAATTACTTTACTCATGTTATCTATATACAATGGAATTCCACCAATTCTCTAAAGATCAAAACTTTTCGTGCCATTTACGCCAGTATACAAAAGATAAGCTAATGGGTTTATACCCCGTTTATGAGAGCATAAACCTCTCTCTTTTTCGTGCAAATTTCTCCGTCTCGATTAATATTCGTTTCGTCTCTAATTTCGGGAACAACCTTATCTATTTCTGCCACTTCATGATTTGGAGCATGAGCAGGTTTACAATTAAACCTTTTATCTTTTATTCCTCTAATTATTACAAAAAATAATCGTTATTCCTCCGAATCGCCACTTAAATACTTTCTCGTCCCAGCTTTGGGATCCGCTATTATTATTTTTTCTGCTTCAATTATATTTATTTCTCCCAGCTTTGCACCACTTTGCTTAACTCTTGCTCTTCTTCTTAAACTAGGAGCAGCTCCATTCCATTTTTTATTCCCCAAAGTTATAGAAGGCATAAATTGAATTCAATCCATTGCACTCGTAACCGTTCAAAAAATTACTCGTATACTTTTACTTTCGTATCTTACTTTTAATTATTTAGTAACTTCAATTATTTTATCAGCAACTATTGGAGCAGTTGGTGGTATTAATCAGACAATGCTTCGAAAAATTTTAGCTTTTTCTTCTATTAATCATATAGCATGAATATTTTCTGTTATTTTAATCAGTGAAAATGTGTGAACAATATACTTTACTTTTTACTCTTTAATATCTACTTCAGTACTGTAGCATTAACTTTTCACTTCCAACACATTTTTCATTTTTCTCAAATTACTTCCAATAATGCTTCACCCCTGCCTAATAAAATTCTTATACTTTGATACTTTGGTCTTTACTTTCACTAGGTGGACTACTGTAGTGGATACTCTCCCCTACAACTGACAAGCCTAGCCGCATTCCATAGCGGCGGAGTTCAGCCAACCGGCGAGTTTCTCACGGCAAGGAGGGGGGGGGGCCACCTGGATACTCTCACCACAAGCCTAGTCGCCTAGACTCGCGCCAAGTTTCTCTGACAAGTCTAGACGGGGGGTCGACACCAGCGACGCTTACATCCGGTGGCCGAGTATATAAGCTCTCGGTCTTGCAATTGAAGTCCATTCTACTCCACGTTCCTGAACCGGCAAAACCTCCAAACAAGCTCCTCACCCAACAGGACCTCTAAGCAAGCTTCTCACTAACCAGACCCCCAGCAAGCTCCTCACCCAACAGGACCTCTGAGCAAGCTTCTCACCAACCAGACCCCCAGCAAGCTCCTCACCCAACAGGACCTCTGAGCAAGCTTCTCACTAACCAGACCCCCAGCAAGCTCCTCACCCAACAGGACCTCACCACACGGCAACTCCCTGGCACTGCACTGTACGTACAATATATACAGAAAACTCATTGTGAGTTTCTATCCTACCTCAATCCCGAGTGCGAGATATCTACGAGTAAGTACGTACGTGAGCCCATACAGAGAGAATTTGACAACTGGCCACGTACAGTATGCCACACTACCGCCTTTTACTGGATTTTTCCACGAATGAATTTTAATTCTGGTGGAAAAAGTTAGTTAATAATAATATGAGCTTGTCAAGCTCAAGTAATTCCATTGCAATACTTTTTGATGCCTCAAATAGCACCTATTTTTTTATAGTCCTTATTGGCTTTCTTTTATTTTTTATTATAAACTATTTTATAAAATCTCCACCTAAAATATCTCCTTCAATTGAATTAAAAACTTAAAAACAAAAAACCTGAAAATGATAACAAGACTATTTTCTATTTTTGAACCTTCTTCAAGAATCTTCTCATATCAATTAATTGATTAACAACTTTTGTCGGGTTACTTTTTATTCCCTACGAGTATTGACGATCAACCCACGGGTGACATACAAAAGTGGCAATTTTAACTCGAAGGAAAAGCACAAAAACACAGCAATACTGAGTGTGGCTGGATCTAACCTGAAGGATGGAGCACACCTGCATTGCCCCAAGCTACTGTCCCGGCCACACGCCTGCCCAACCGCATCCGGCCCGTACGAGCACGAACCGATTGCTACAAGAACAGCCCAGTCCCAATCATTGTAAAAATTATCAACACCTAATTATTATATATCATATTTGTATCACATATGTTACTTGTACATCATTTGTAAATCAAGAGACCCATTCCCCAATTATGTAATTGTATATTTTCGGCCTTTCGACTGCCGTGCTCGTTCGATAAACCGTTAATTATTATTATTATTTAATATATACGGTATACCAAATCACGGTTTAAAATAAATAACTTATAATTTTGGCACCACAAACCAACGTTTTTATTAAACTATTTAAACTAAAATCTTGCTAAGATTATAACTGTTTTTACAATAAGAACATTTAAAGGCAACCAATGTAGCATCAATACTAAGTATTCAGTAACACTTCCTGAACAACAATGAATTGAAAAACAACCCATGCTGGCTTATTGAATATATGTATAAAGTGTATGCAGCCCTAAAAAAAGATAGTGAAGCAATTCCAAATATTCTAATCTTTCTTCACCTAACTACACTTAAAATTAGTCTAATTTCTCCCAATAAATTAATAGTACGAGCTGCTATATTACCATTTCTTAACAAAAATCACCATAATCCTAAACTAGGTTTAAAATTTAATAAACCTTTATTTACCAATAATCTTCGACTTCCTAAACGCCAAACTATATTATGTAATTACCCAAAATCCCATTGAAACAACGGTTTCGGTTAACGAATGACCTTTAGCAACGAATTGTGTTCGTTAACCGAGGGACCGCCGTATTACAGAACAATAAATACGGTATCGGATAACTCACAATTTTTGGTGTTGATTATAAACAAAAATTTCCCAGATAAGCCAAAAGTATAGTTCTCAAGTGTTTTTAATCAAGAAAGAGCAAGTACTGTAATTCGCTATACTCACAGTTCCCGTCCATGACCAGATTGTTTGTATCCTCCAAATGGTGTTTGTGGGAGACACACATCATAGCAGTTGACCCTGAAACAACATCATGGTAATTATAACACTGTCCCTCTCTCATTCCTTCTAGCAACTATGACAGCTCTTGTAACATGGTAGAACATCATCTTGATAAAGAATGTTAGTGAGCAATAATTAAAAAAAATTGAGAGACGAGATAATGGCAAGTTGTGTGTAGCATAATTTTGAATTTCTGTAATCTATATATATAAAGTTGTAGCCTCTGTCTGTTTGTTCACAAACTCCTCCTTGGGTTTTGGAGATACACCTCCATAACCATATATATTCTGAAACTACATTACCCAGGGCACTTCGATAAGTATATTTCATTTTGATCAAAGGGGGTCCCCGGGGGGCACAAACCCCCCACTGAAAATTGTTTTCCCTTCGATTTAAATGAAATTTAAACCATAGGTAAATGACCAAAAATGATGCCTATTCACAAAATATCAGCAAATTTCAATAATATTAAGACACCCTAATGGGGGCTAAACCCCCCTATATTGAAAATTTTGGAAGCCCATAACTTGAGTATTGGAACCTCTATTATCACGGGGTTTTTCTATTAATTAAACGTAAAACAACAACAAAAATTTGACAAATTTAGACATTTTATCTATGACAAAACATCGCTAGAATTACGACAAGAAAAATTATTACTTAATGCCGCTACTTTTTTAACATTTTCATTTATTTATTTTTTTCAGACATCCATTATGCCACGGAAAACAAAGTCCAGTTATGCAAATACTCCACGTGCACAGAGGACGAGGCTTCGTCGTCAATCTGAAAGCTGCGATGCAAGGGAAGAACGACTTTCTAGGCAAAGACAGAGGCAAACAGAGTCTCGGCAAAATGAAACCTCGGGTGAGCATCGAGAAAGACAGGAACAAGATAGATTTCGCCATATAGTTGCAAGAAGAAATGAGTCCGAAGAAGAGAGACAACGGCATTTGATTGCCGATACATTTTGCCATACGGTTGCAAGAAGAAATGAGTCTGAAGAAGAGAGACAACGGCGTTTGATTGCCGATAGAGACGGGTATCAAAATTTAAGACGACGCGAGATTCAAAATGCTAAACGTTCTGCATTACTGTATGACTGGGGAAAGTCAATTCAGCAAACACTTTTTGTCAAGACTCAGGGAGTACAACTCTCTGTTTGCCATGACCAGCTTTGGTCACAAAGATGCATCTGTCCAAGGTTGGAATCCATCTGTAAGAATCCAAAGTCAAATTTACCATCAACTTGGGTCACTGATGCCTCCTGAAGATAGAAGTGCAAGATACATTCAAGTTTACTTTTTGGACACTTTGGTTAGGTTTGTAATTTGGGAAAATAAGCGTGCCCGGGGAGAACACGCTCGGCGTTTTCGTGCACCGACGGGGGCTGAAGTTGCAATTTTAATGTCAAATGAGCCTACAGAAAATAGAGATATTGTTCTTCAGTTGAAACAAGGTGGATTGAGGAGAATTTCAGAGCTACGTCGATCCTGTGATCCTCTGATGTATCCGTTGTTTTTTCCGTATGGAACAGACGGCTACCGCGTATATTTGCGAGGGAAAAATGGTCGGAAAGTCGCACAGTTGCAGTTTTACTCTTTCCATATTATGTGCAGAAGGCGACTCTTCCAGCAATTCTTGGTGGATGCATACTGCAAAATAGAAACTGAAAGATTGAAGTTTTTGAGAAGAGAACGGCAAAGTCTCCGTGCCGAAAATTACTCGGATTTACGTGATAGTCTGCTCGCTGCTGACGGAGATCCAAATCGAGTTGGTCGTCGCATTGTGCTTCCGGCGACCCGTACCGGTGGTCCTCGATACCTTCGTGAAAAAAGATCAGATGCGATAGCCTCTGTGAGACACTACGGAAGAGCGGATTACCTCGTCGCTATGCCATGTAATCCGCGTCGGCCCGAAATTGTCGACAATTTGGCTCCCGGATAAGAGAGTCGTGATCGACCGGATATTGTTGCGAGAGTCTTCGGATTAAAAGTGAAAAAGTTTATGGAACATATGAAGAAGGGAATATTTGGTACTTTGCAAGCATGGCTGTACACCATTGAGTACCAGAAGAGAGGTTTACCCCATGCACACTTTCTTTTCTGGATAGCTCCAGGGCACAAAATCAAAGCCGAAGAATATGATTTGGCAATTTCTGCAGAAATCCCTAAAAAAGAGCAAGATAAAGAACTCCATGATCTGGTCATGAAACACACGATCCATGGCCCACGTGATCCGCACGTACGGTCGACGGAAAATGTTCCGCGCGAGGCGCGGGTAATTCGGCTGGTAGTTTATAGGAGAGGTCAAATGGACATGAGCCTAATGCACTATGGAACATCAAGTAGACATTGACAATAGAATATTTATATAATATACTGTAACCATAAACAAAATAATAATCTTACCAAACTGATCCGGCCTGAACAGCTTGGGCATACATTATGGCCTTGTTAATGTTGGTGGTGATAATACCAGAAGCCAGGCCATACTCTGTATTGTTGGAGCGTTTGATCACCTCATCCGTGCTGCTGAACTTGAGGATCACTTGTACAGGCCCAAAGATCTGGAATTACCGGGGTAAATAAAAAAAATTGCCCATTACGTCGTCTCTCGGAGCCGGAAAAAATCCCTCGTCCCCGGAATTTTCCGGACGACGTGAAATGTTCTCGGAATTTCCAAAGAGTGTGCCCGATTGTCGTCTCTCAAACCGGGAACAAAAAAATCCCCTAATCCCAAAATTTTCTGGGCATTGGGAAAATCGTTTCAAAAGCTGGAAATTTCCGGCTTTGGAAACGATTTTTCCCGAGAAAATTTCAATTCCGGCTATCCGAGAGTTCCAAGATTGAGGGATTCCAGCTAACGGAGATATTACTGTGTCGCCTTAGGGCAGTGGTTCCCGAGCAGTGTGCCGCAAGATGTAATTGGGTGCGCCGCGAAAGAGCAACATTATATTTCAAAATGTGAAAAATACAAACTGAAATTCGGAATAAAGTTCATATATAACTGTCAAAGTGGCAAACAACTAAACTAAGAATGAGAGGTGGTTTGTGTCATTCAATTCATTTAGGCTAATTATGGTACAACAGTGTTATTAAAGTTTGAGTCTTAAATTTCGTAAGGATAAGAACTAAATTCACGTCAATCTATCCTCGTAATTTACGTCTTATAGACACGTTCGATGCATGACTGTGTTTCGGTTCATTTCAAGAATAGATTTTGAAAAAAACTATCGAGCGAAAATATGCGGCGTCGAACAAAATTTTGTAACGCGTCCTCCCGTATTACGGCGGATCGGGACCGTAACTATGCAGTATTTCAATTTGTTTCATTCGTAGTAGTATAAATTTTCTTCTTTTCAATTGATTTTGAAAGGCTCTCGAGTTAAAATAAATGAAACCGAACAAAAGATTCCAAACGTATCTTCACGTTTGCGGACCGTTAAGTTATTAAATGTCGCTTGTCTCGGTTTGATACTTGGCTTTGTTAGCAAGCTGTGCTCTTTGTGCGATTCAATTCATATTGACTAAATTACCCATAAAATGGATAAGTTTATTAAGAGGAAACATAACAGCGACGATTGTGAATCCGAAAGAGAACGTTCATCAAAAGCAACTAAGCCTAGCGATAATAAGGCGAAAGCTCGACCCAATCGTCGATGGCTATTTAAAGTTCGGGTTTCATCGGACCGGAAACGAGGATCGACCTCTCCCGCCGTGTGTTGTTTGTGGTGAAAGGATGTTTAATGAAGGCATGGTACCCAGCAAGTTAGAGAGACATTTTATAACTAAACACTCACATCTTCAAGATAAAGATCTGAATTATTTCCAAAGACTGTTAGAACAGCAATCCGAGCAAAGAAACTATTTTCGGAAAAAGTTTACAGTTTCTGAAAAGGCTCTAAGTCACTTCTATTGAGATAGCCGAAACGATTGCACTACAAACAAAATTGCACACTTTAGCCGAGTCGGCTATCTTGCCCGCCTGTAGAAAGATGGTTAAAACCATGTTAGGTGATGAAGCCGAACAAGAAACAAGCAAAATTCTCCTCTCAAATAATACAAGCCATAGGAGAATAATGGATTTATCTGCTGATATAGAGGAAAATGTACAGAACGAACTCCGAATTTGCTTTACAAGTTGATGAATCTACAGACATAAGCAACAAAGCACAATTACTTACATTTAATCACTTTATTGATGGAAACCAAATAATAAATCAGTTCTTTTGTTGCAAAGAAATGTCACTCAATACAAGAGGTCAAGATATCTTTGACATTTTATCTGCCTACCTCGAAAAATGGAATTGATCATGGAAGTCATGTGTTGGAATATGTACTGATGGGGCACCATCTATGGTAGGCTGTATTTAAGGTTTTGTATCGCTCGTACAACAGCAAAATACTAATGTTATACGTACTCATTGCTTCCTACATAGGGAGATACTAGTTTCAAAAACAATACAAGTTGAATTAAAGCAAGTTGACTATCAAAAATCCGGCAACCTCGGGACCCGAGGAGTGCCGGATTTTCGAAAATGCCGGAAAACTGACGGTTATATTTGCTGTATGAGTTTAACAGAAAATGACTACCTGTACAGTCCTTTAAACAATGAAAATTAAACACTAAATGAAAAGCAAATGAAATATTATTATATATGCTGTATACGGTAGTACCCCGATTACATACGCGGTCAATTGTCAATTGAACCCACAGGGTACCACGGAAAGTGAAAACCCGTAAAGTGAACAACAGAACATATGGGATTAATTCCAATAGAGACTGGCGCGACCCCCAAACTCCACTTTTTCCGACACAATACCTATGTTCTAGTAAAAATAACATCTTAATTTTATGATGGTACATGCACACAATTAATACTTAAGAGAAATAGAGAAATACAGTCGCCAAGTTAATGTCCATTCAAATAATGGACTCAACTCCCTCCCCCTTTTCTCACACTCCTGGCTCTTCCCTCTCTGAGAAATTTTGAGGGGAAACCACTAGATTTTAATAAATAATACCTCAAACTAAAGTTAGGATAATATAATTGACATTGCTGGATTCCTTGTAAGACCAGGAATATTTTGAATATAAATGTCATATATTTTGCACAAAAGATAACATATTTATTGAGAGTAAACATTTGATCTAAAATTTGTATGTCTAATGCAAAATCTATGATGTTTATATTCAAAATGATCATCAAATTGTAAGAATTCCAGCAATGTAAATTATATTCTGGCCGGGTAATTTGTATGAATTTTATGAGCTAAAACAAATATCTTCAGTTAATAAAAAAAAAATATTCTTCACACACTTTCTGTCAATCAAAGTATCCCACCTTGCCTCCCCCCCCTCTTCCAACCTCGCCAGATGGTCGGTCGGTCCCTCCCTACCAGAGAAATGTGTGGGAGAAACCAGAATATTCACCTTCTTAGAAATAAATAATACCTCAGACTAAAGTTAGGATAATATAATTGACATTGCTGGATTCCTTGTAAGACCAGGAATATTTTGAATATAAATGTCATATATTTTGCACAAAAGATAAAATATTTGCTTTGTGTAAACCAAATTAATACATTATATCTAAAATTTGTATGTCTAATGCAAAATCCATGATGTTTATATTCAAAATGATCATCATATTGTAAGAATTCCAGCAATGTAAATTATATTCTGGCCGGATAATTTGTATGAACTTTATGAGCTAAATAAAAAATTATACTTCACCCGCGTATATGAGTAGATGCATCGCGTAAAATGAAATTCCGGTTCTGGCTAGGTACCGCGTAAATGTAGAATCGCGTAAGGCGAAACCGCGTAAATCGGGGTATTACCAGTATTACCCCGCCCAACGCGGTTTCACTTAACGCGTTTTATCATATACGCGGTGCCTCGCCAGAGCTGAACTTTCACTTAACACGGATTTTTTCCACATATACGCGGTGAGTGTCCGGCTCGAGACGCTATTTTTAGATTTGCCCCACCCGCCACCCTGCCTGACTGCCTGTTTTAGCTCATAAAATTCATACAAATTACCCGGCCAGAATATAATTCACATTGCTGGAATTCTTATAATTTGGTGATCATTTTGAATATAAACATCATATATTTTGCATTAGACATACAAATTTTAGATAAAAATTTTTCTCAGAGTAACTATGTTATCTTTTGTGCAAAATATATGACATTTATATTCAAAATATTCCTGGTCTTACAAGGAATCCAGCAATGTCAATTATATTATCCTAACTTTAGTTTGAGGTATTATTTATTAAAATTTAGTGGTTATCCCACACATCTCCTTGGGACGGTTGGTGGGGGGTGGGGGGGAGGGAGGGACCGACCGACCATCTGTTACCCCGTGAAGAATTATTTTTTTTTTTATTAACTGAAGATATTTGTTTTAGCTCATAAAATTCATACAAATTACCCGGTCTGAATATAATTTACATTGCTGGAATTCTTATAATTTGATGATCATTTTGAATATAAACATCATATATTTTGCATTAGACATACAAATTTTAGATAAAAATTTTTCTCAAATTAACTATGTTATCTTTTGTGCAAAATATATGACATTTATATTCAAAATATTCCTGGTCTTACAAGGAATCCAGCAATGTCAATTATATTATCCTAACTTTAATCTGAGGTATTATTTAATACTAAATGTTAAAAACCCTGGAAGGGAGGATTGGTGGGGGGGAGGGTTGGGACTGACCGCGCGGTTGGAAGAGGGGGGGAGGCAAGGTGGGGTACTTTGATTGACAGATAGTGTCGTGAAGATTATTTTTTTTTTTATTAACTGAAGATATTTGTTTTAGCTCATAAAATTCATACAAATTACCCGGTCAGAATATAATTTACATTGCTGGAATTCTTATAATTTGGTGATCATTTTGAATATAAACATCATATATTTTGCATTAAACATACAAATTTTAGATAAAAATTTTTCTCTAGGTAACTATGTTATCTTTTGTGCAAAATATATGACATTTATATTCAAAATATTCCTGGTCTTACAAGGAATCCAGCAATGTCAATTGTGTTATCCTAACTTTAGTTTGAGGTATTATTTATTAAAATTTAGTGGTTTTCCCCCCAAAATTTCTCCGAGAGGGAAGAGCCGGCAGTGTAGTGTGAGAGGGGGAGGGAGTTGGGGGAGGGAGTTGAGTCCATTATTTGAATGGACATTAACTTGGCGACTGTATTTCTCTATTTCTCTTAAGTATTAATTGTGTGCATGTACAATCATAAAATTAAGATGTTATTTTTACTACAACATAGGTATGTGCCTTCAAAAAGTGGAGTTTGGGGGTCGGGCCGGTTTCTATTGGAATTAATCCCATATGTTCTGTTGTTCACTTAACGAGGATTTCACTTAACGCGGGACCCTCTGGGTTCAATTGACCGCGTTAAGTGGGGTACAACTGTATCTATAAATAAACTTTAAAAAATAAATACTTTATGCTTTACGTCGTCCTGTGCTACCATACCGTGGATTTGGCGACTTTGGGCTTGCTATAACGACGCGAGAGATCTGCCCCGGCAACTGTACCGACACTCACAGCTGGTGGTGCGACGTTTCCATTGTTTACTGGTACATATTTTTCAACCCAACGAAACTATTACCCGTTTAGAGGTCGACCCCTAATTTTTTGCCAAATAATTGGGTCTTAAAAACTCTTACTACACACAGGTATATACAGTAAATAAGGACATGGGGGGCCAGGGGTCTTTTTTTTTGGGGGGGGGCAGCAATAGTATACGGATTTTTAACATTCACGGGTATCTCTGTTACCTAACCCCCGCGTATGTTAAGGGCCGACTGTACCGTTAAACCTCAGGCCCCCGGGACCAGGTGTTCCGCCTATATTCCCACCATTTATTTATTTATTATTATTTATGGAAACAAAAATTCTTGATTTATCCCCGCACGGAGGGGAGGGGTACTGCCGGCAGCACCCTAACCCGGGGCTTAAGGGTTAAAGGCCGGTAAGTTATACGGATACTCCTCAAATTACGACCCGCTCGACTTACGACCGCCGCGGTCGTACCAAAATTTGGCCAAATTACGTATTTTCGAGTCCCGACGCTAGTGATTGCGCCGTGTACCGACAAAATTTTCGTTTGTAATTCCCTTTAAAATGGCTGGCAAGAGTAAAAGTGAGAGTTTCGTGGTGCTGAAAAGAAAAAGAGACACCCATTTTAGATTTTCTATGTATTATTTTCACATTTTCGACTTGCGACCCGGTCGCCGGTCCCCGACCCCGTCGTAAGTCGGGGACCGACTGTATCGCCGTAGCCGTTCACTCTTACATCGACTACTATTTGCTCGGCCACTCCTCGTAAACCGGACGTGTCGTCCGACTCGGCACGAACGAAACCGTCACTACGACACGACGGTGAAATGTGCACCCCGAGGTTCGTCTCGGTCTCGCTCGTGACGTTCCAAAACTCTTCCGTTTAATATATATTTTGATATTATTTTAATCCTCGGTTGGGGGCCTTCCTTCTACCCAGCACAATACATACATTAATATAGCTTAATGGATTTCTTGTTATAGTAAAGTATATACAGTTGTATGTCACACAGGGACGACTCCCTCGCTACCCGCCATCTATAGCCGTTGCCGATATAGTGAGCGGGCGTACCAACTTATGCTCGTGCAATGGACATCGCATCGATGTATTTCATCTAGCGTTTCAAATTTTACCGCTAGCAAATCTATCATACTTTTTGGAGACTACATAATTTGGGGGGAACTTTTTTCATTGTAGAAAAGTATCTTGGCGAGTCTATAGGAATATTGATTCAATTTAATATAGGTTTTTAAGGCATAATACTCGTATAAACTGGTGAATGCCCATACAACTTTCCTAACATTCAAAGTACCACAACAATATTAAATACAATACCACAGAGTACTTGAGGTCCAGTTAGCTTCAGGTACTGTCCAGTTAACTTTATGTCCAGCCAACTTCATTCTAGTTCACATCGGGTCCACTTTAAGCAGTGATGGAGAAAGTGCCTGAAAATATTACTTAAGATAGAGCACTGCACTGTTGAAAAGCAAACATTAAAACTTATACAAAGTAGTCTTCTTCAAAACTATGCAAATAAAAGTTTAATTAACTTAACTGAAACATACAAGTAGAAAAAGGTATAAAAAGCAGCACACTATTTGTAGAGTATCATAATTAATAAACAATGAAATTATGTTTTGAAAACGAAGCTTAAAGTTATTAATATACTGTACTTTAAAGAAAAACAAAATAAACACACATTCAAAATTTGGCACGGGATGGAAAACGTGAATCTGGGCCATATTTTTGACGTGTCGCGACTTTAGACACCGACATTTACATAAATGCCCACTTTTATAGGATTACTGTACAAGTGCGCTTAAGTACATACTCTAATACACTCGGCTTGTACGCCCAATTACACGACGTGAAGTAACGACGTCGGTCTTACCTCCGGCGGGTCGGCGGCGTCTCTCCGTTAACGGCGTCGCATGCGAGACCGGACGGGTCCGTACGGTCAAGTCTGAACTTGTCATACTGAGATGTGTTGTTGGTCCTTGAAGCTTCCTGCAAATGTCACCAATAGTTATATAATACACAACACTGGATAACTATTATATTATAGGCAGGGGTTATTTGACCAGGACTCGGCACAATAACCGCTGCTTATTTGACCGGGATCTAAAATAAAACTAAATCCTTTTGGCAACAGAAAATTATACAATTAAATAAGACCACAGTGTAATGACTAGTTTAATGCCCACAATCATCCCGACTACAATCCCATACAATCCTCGCAGGTCCCGGTCAAATAGCCGACGGTTATTCGGCCCAGAATCCGGGTCAAATGACAACTTCGTATTAAAAGGAAAGGTTACTCGTTAGTTTAAAACCACACGGAGAAATTGATTATTCAAATAGGTTAGGTTAGGTCAAATTGGGTTTATCCAATAGTTTTTCATGTATTTTGAACGATTCTGACCTTCGGAAAATAGGTGCACGGACGAGACGATAATTTTACCCGTTTTTATTTGTATTTTTTCTAATAAATAAATATTACCTTAATTTCCTCTTACACTAACAAAAACAATGAATCTTCCAAAGTGAGTTAGACTTTCAACATGAAGGGTGAAAAAACAACACTGAAAACCTTACCTAACCTAATCTAAACTACCTAACTTCTTGCGACGGACGAGCAAAAATTTAATCGGCGTACCCGGTTTCGTACGCGTCCGATGGCGTTTACATTTCGTGGACGCGACAGACGTAGAACGAGACTGCGACGACGTCGACGGATTCTTGTCGTGCTACTGGGAGAAACACAATTTTGTGGGATTTATTATTTTAATCTCTTTCACTCGAATTTCACATAATCTGCTGTAACCAATGAGAGGACGGTTCAAATCTATTGTGATATTTACGCGGGAGCAAAATTTTTTTCTAGATATATTTAAGCCTCCCTCGTGACCTAAACGCTGAAGACGAGAACTGACTCGCCGATAAAATATTGAAAACACAAAAAATAAAACATTAAAGAAATAACTTTTTCTCTTATCCTAGGACACGACTTGGTTTCAGCTGGCAAGGTGCCTTTCCAGCTTGCTTGCTAGTGAGCGCTCACTTTAAGTTATTTACAACTTCAGCGGTCACTGATGACACTATGAACTATCACTGTGTACACTGTATCTCCCTGTGAGTGGTGTATTATAAACACAGATTCAGTCCTTGAGAAAGCACACAAACAAAATAAAATTTAAAGTCTCTGTGGCACCTATGACACGAATAGGCTGGCAGTTGTCCTTACCAGCTCGATTGCCAATATGTATTCACTTTAAGATATTTATAGTCTCTTCTGCATTCACTGATGACAACTATGAACTGATTTAACTGAAGGCACAGTACTACACTCCCTGGTTGGCCTTTATCACAGCCGTGACCACAACACCCTAAAAAAAATAATAAAATAAAAGCTTTGTCATGTGGCAGTGATTGTGTGGTTATAGGCCTGTGACCCTGGCTGTACCTCCAACTCGGTGGAAATTGAGTTTTCAAAAATACAATCGTGTCTAGCATGAAAAGTCCTACATCGATTTACACTTTCACCTCACTAAGACGATCTTATGTAATCACTGTCCAATTTCTGCCGCTCTACATCAAAGGCCCGAATGCCGAACACGTTTAAGCGAGATATTTAACGGTTCATTGTGCACGTCTGTTCGTGGCGGTACACACCCACGTTAGTTTAGGTCTGGTTAAATCCAAAACTTTTTCCGATGGGTTTTTGTGCGTTTTGGACACTTTTTACCTCGATTCTTATAGCTCTAGTTTCTGAGGGGCAGGGTGGCAAATTTTTACAAGTGGACAACCATTGACTTTTTGTTGAGCAATGTGTTTTTCCAATAGTTTAGACAATGTTAAAACACGTTTCTTCTACGACGTTTTCCTCAGAAATGACTTAAAATTACCTAATCTCCCTGCTATATTTAAGTCATTTGTGAGGGAAACGTCATTGAAGAAAAGTGGGTCAACGTCGGTCCATTGGCTGTCCGCAGGTTCCCGCCGTGTTTACCCGAGGTTGCGCTCCCAACTCGTCTCCTCCTCGTAGGTTAGGTTAGGTAGGTTCTTTGGTACGAGAATTAATTTTTGGTGTACTTTGGTGTTTTACTCAAATTTGACCTCTATTTTATTGGCAAAATTAGCAGTTTGTTAAAATTGAAAATGTTCTTTTTTGGCAAAACACGTTACAGTACTTTACAAAAGAGAAGGGTACATTTGAGTAAAACACTGAAAAATCTCGAACAAAAAAAAAATTCTCGTACAAAACCCGAGGACAGCCAATGGACGAATATTTACCTAAACCATCGGAACAACACATTGATCAACAACTCCATGGTTGTCCACTTATATTAATTCACCAGGGGCTTATCTCAAAACTATTGAATTGCGCCACAAATGAAGGTCAAATTCGTTCATTACATCAAAAACCACCGGAAAAACATACTTTCAACTTTGATGTGGCAAAAAGTGGAAATATACCATTGGATACAGTACTTCACCACCACCACCAGATGACCCAGCACAATTAACTAAATTAATCATTAAATACACTCTGTCTAACCATAATAATTCTCCAATAACTTCTTAGTATTATTAATGTTAAATATCTGGTATAATATTATGAATAAATGTCTTACCGATGCCTCAGGCCGATATTTTCGGGGCTGTCTGATCGTCGTACACTTGGTCCGTCCTCCACCTTCTTGCTCTGTCTTGTGGCTCCAGTTGGTGATGGATCCAAGAACCACCAGACGAGAAACTCTCCCCTGTACCCCGTGATGAAGGTTTAGTAGTGCTGTTAACTCATAGATGGCGCTCACCTCCATATCATTCCTTTTTACGTTGAATATATAAAACAGCCATATGAATAATCATTTATTACCATTTACATAAAACTATGTTAGCATGTAATAGAGTCCGTAAAAATAAAATGATTTTTGGTGTGCACTTTTGGGGGGCGGCACTTTTGGGTCTGCTCATCACCCATATCTGCAGCTACTGGAGACGTTAATCCATCCCTTTGTATCGGCGGCAAGTTAATCCTTGTCGTGTCTGACCTAACACCTGACCCACATCTGTCTCCTACTATTCAGAACGAGTTTATAGAAATTTTGGGAGAAAACGTAAGAAGCAACGTCATCAAGCAAGTAAAAGAAGCAAAGTACTTTTCCATGATATTCGACAGCACTCCTGATATTTCACATAAGGATCAAACGAGCCAAGTTTTACGCTATGTTATGATCGATGGAGATAAGGTGAAAGTTGTGGAATCATTTGTCGATTTCATTGAAACAAAAGGTAAAACCGCCGAGAATATTTCAATGATGATTTTGGAAAAATTAGAGAAAGACGGAATTGATATTCAAAATTGTAGAGGGCAAGCATATGATAATGCTGCGGTGATAGCTGGTGTTCATACTGGTGTTCAGAAACGTATCAAGGAAATTAATAAAAAAGCAGAATTTGTCGCTTGTACAAATCACTCGCTGAATTTGGCGGGTGTTCATGCAGCTTCTGTTGCTGTGAATTCTGTTACCTTTTTTGGATGTGTGGAACGTTTGTTTGTATTTTTTTCTTCATCAACCCATCGCTGGGATGTTCTAACTTCAGTCACTGGTCAAAGTGTCAAGCGCATAATAGAAACTCGGTGGAGTGCGAGGGGAGAAGCTGTAAGTGTTGTAAAGAAACATTTCTAAAAAATCTTAAGTGCCCTAGAAAAGTTAACTGGTGAAGAAGAAAATACAGCTACCAGGGCAGATGCTGGTGTTCTACTTGGTGCGTTGCAATCATTTTCCTTTTTGTGCTTTCTTAGCGTTGTGGGGACCCGTCCTTCTAGAAATTAACGACACAGACTTACCTCCAAACCAAGGGCTTGAACATACAACAATGTGATATAAAACTCAGGGCATTAGAAACATTTCTAGTTGAAAACAGGGACAAGCTAGTGAGTAGTGGAGTTAACTATGCCAAAGAAATTTGCAATGATCTGGGGCTAGTCATGGAGCGTCAGCGTCGACCCAAAAAGAAGAAACAAATGTTTGGTGAAGGATCACGAGATGCTGAATTGCCATACGACATTGAATTGAGGAGAGAAATGTTTTCTTCGCTGGACAGGGTGATCCAAGAAATAACTTTGAGATTTCAACAGCTTCATAAACTTGCTGAGAAATATGCCTTCCTTACCCCATTGAATCTTTTGGATGATAAATATGAGTGTCAAATAGATCACGATCACGACGACATTGATAAAGAGGAGTTCCTCGTTGAGAGAAAAAGACTTCAGCATTTTGTTGCTGTTGCTGCTATAACTATTAAAGACAGAATACAGACGTGGAAAGAAGGCCCCCTTGAACTTTTGCAGTTTATTCAAAAGTATAACCTTGGGAACTCGGTTCCAAATATAGTAATAATGCTGAGGATTTTCCTCACAATTGCTGTTAGTGTTGCTACCTGTGAGAGGAGTTTTTCGAAACTAAAACTGATCAAGAATTACTTAAGATCTACTATGAGCACCTTGCGGTTGAGAAATCTTGCCATACTGTCTATAGAGCGACAATTGACAGATGAAATAGTTTTTGACAATGTCATTGAAGAATTTGCCAACAAAAAAACAAGAAAAGTTACTTTGTAGAAAGTTGTAGTTTTCATTTCAGAAATAAAGATGGTCCTAATTTTTTACACTTTTTTACTTTTTTCCCTATCCTATATGTCGTTTTTGCTTTTTGTTTAACTGTTACTTATAAAGTTTAAGTATGTTTGGGGTGTATTTAAAGCATACTATATTTGAGTATGTGAAAGTACAGTAATATTATAATGGTACACAAACTATTTAATATATATATATATATATATATATATATATATATATATATATATATATATATATATATATATATATATATATATATATATATATATATATATATATATATATATATATATATATATATATATATATATATATATATATATATATATATATATATATATATATATAT